AAATTTTAACTTGAGATAAATAATAGATCGTGGATCTAATTCATTCCCCAATCAAGTCCCAAAAGATGAGAATATTCTATATATAATAACATTCTACAAATATTTCAAATTAAAGGAGAATCTCTGCATGAATTATTCTAATCTGATTTTCAATTTAATTACAAATTTATATTTTTTTTTGAAAAAAATCATATTCATTTGATTCAACGACAGTTTTCATATTCTTGATCTCTTTCTGATGTTCAATAAATGAACTGAACCATCCTTGCATACAGGCTCTTTACAACATCTTTGATGTAAACAATGAGATGGAAATCACTTGATGGAAATTTTTAAGAATAAATCAGACAATCCAGAATCAACTTATCTGATCTCTTTATCTCTTCATCTTCTTTGAATAGATTTTTAGATTGATTATCCACTTCATGATCTAATTCTCTGATTTATATGTTAGATCAGCAGTTGCATTTTATATCTGATCCGTACCAGAATTTCCTACAGGTTTTAAGGTAAAAAAATTGGTCGGGAAAATCTTCTATGCTTATAGTGTTGCTGCTAGAGGTAACCCAAACCACAAAGGAGAAACAAATATTATTTCTTAATTCCAAACATATTACAAACATGGTACGAGAAAAATAGGAAATAAACCACAAACTAATTTGACAACACAAACAATAAAAGATGTTTGTGGGGACGTCGAGGATGGAGACTACTGGACGGCTGTTGGTGGCTGAGGAAAGATGGTTACGACTGTAAGGAGGTGGCAGAGGTGATGGGCAACCGCTGGAACAACAAGATAACTTCGGGCGGCAGTCCAAAGAACAGTAGGTTGTTGTTTGGGGCTGCTGGATAGCTGAGGGGGAAGAACAGGCGGGCTGCGGTGGTTGGAGGATTGCTGCAAAGCTGAGGAGGAACAGTAGGGGGAGCTGCGGTGGTTGGATGAGGGCAGGTCGGTGATTGGGACCGGGAAGGATGGAACGACGGTGGATGGAATGATGGAACGACAACTGGAAAATGGACGTACGGTAAGTTAAATACGACCACTACAACCGGAGCACCACTCTGACCCTTGGAGATGCCATGTAAGATGAGGAACAACCAGAACACTTTGTCGCCTTCAGATACAACTCTTGAAGGGAAAAACAGGATGTCAATGGCTGTCCAAAAAGAACGTTGAATTCTTAAGAAACAAAAGTCCTCCTCCCCTAAACAAAACAACCCCTATATATACGAAGGATTAGGACTTTTATCAGACAATGCATTTAATTAAGAAATAGAATATAATAAGCAAATATTCATAGTAGACAATGTTTTAAAATAAGGAAGAGAATAAAAATAGTAAGAATTCATTATTTAGGCAATGTTTATAATTGGAAGAATTCATGATAGGCAAAGACTAATAAAAATAATACAAATTCAGAATTGGGTAGAATATGTATCCTTCTACCTTTGGCATGCCCTGAGTTGGAACTGTAGGTAAATGAGTATTCTCACCACTCAGGTATCAAGCGGTTCCAGGGGTAACTTGCTTCTCCATTCCTCGCAATCGGCTGAGTGTAGATGAGGAATTGGTATGGGAGGAGAGATCAATGCTGAGGTGAAAGTTGTGGCAGACCGCACCCTACTTACTAGTAGCTCTTCAGGAGAGACCTCATCTTTATTGTAGGACTTGGATCCCATTGATTAATTATTGTCCCCCTCAAGCTCCTAGGGCATTTTTTAAAGCTGAGATTCATTTCTCCTGTCTGGTCATCTGACGAGGGGTACCATACAAACTGGAAATAACCTCTGAATAACTACATGTGATATTCCAATATGACCCAAAATGATCCCTCTTCAGACATGCTGGACCTTTTTCCGTATGGATAACTCAGGAAAGGGTCTATAAATCTGAAATATCTACATTTCCCTTATATGTGTTGACCTTGCATGTGATGCTGGTTCCACAAACTCATAATTTTTGTAGACTCTAAGGTTGGTCCTGCTGATGTTTCTCTCAAAATTTGCAAATGCTGGCTCGAGACACCATAATCTCAGGCTCTTCTGCTTCCTATTACCTCAGAGTTACTACCTTCTACAACAGTGTCTGTTACCTCAGCTCGAAGCTTTATCTTAAGGCCAACTGGATTTGGTGGTGTCTCTTCCTCATCGGCTGAAAAATGAGAATATTCTTTGAGGTATGTATCTTCTTCCTGATCACCGTTCATTTATTTAACTGGAAGTTGGTTCTCCTCGTTTATTTCCTCACCGTCTTTAGTTCTTGCGATATCTTTACCCAACTTTTCAAAGATGTTGTGCTTGGTGAATTAGATCACTCCCCTTGTTGTGCATTCTGCCTCAAAATGTCTAAATTCGTGGCACTTGCCACATTTTCTGGCTCACAGACTTGCTTATTGGTTTCACTGGATAATAGTCAGGGGAGTTGATTGGTGTTGCTTTCTCTCCACGTCAGAAGCTAGAGTTTCCAACTTTTGAGTGTAGTAAGTTGGTAGGAACTGACGTCGTGTTTTTTGTTTCATTTTTATATCTTCTCATACCCACTTCAACTTTTCAGATCACGGGCGTAGTAGTTTTTCATTGATTTTCATCTTCTATGTCTTTAATCCATCATTGAAGTCGGCATATCTGTTGTGATATATTCTTCTGGGAAGGCTTTGGTTTGTATCTCAATGATGAAATTGTTAGGGTTTAGGAATTGGAAGGAAAAAAATTTTAGTGGAGGTGAAAGAGGGTAAAAAATAATTGGGTCAAGGTTGTTGATTTTAAAAATCAGCGAGGGGAATTAGACTTAGGAACACGTGGCAATGGAACGAGCATTGGGTGGTAAGAAGTAAATTTTGTGGGTTATGACGGACGCTAGAATACCCTAAGATAGGGCTAGGGTTGGGCTAGCTCTGATATAAATGATACTGGATGTAACCTAAACCACAATAGAAACATAAATATTATTTTTGAATTCCAAACATATTGCAAACACGATGCGGGAAAAACAGGAAATAGACGACAGACAAACACAAACAACACGAACAATAAAATGAGTCTGTGGGGAACGATGAGGACAGAGGCTACTGGATGGCTATTGGTGGCTGAGGAAAGAGGGCTGTGACTATAAGGAGGTGGCAAGAGGGATGGGCAGCCGTTGGAACATCAAGATAGCTTGAGGCGGCAGTTCAAACTGCAGCATGTTGGTGTTTGGGGCTGCTGACAGCCGTGGGGGAAGCGCAGGTGGGCTGCAGTGGTTGGAGGAGTGCAGGACAACTACTGGGGAAAGCAGGAGGGGCTTTGGTGGCTGGTGATTGGAAGCGGGAAGGATGGAGAGCGGTGGCTGGAATGACGGAACAACAACAGGAAAACAGGCATACGGTAAGATAAGTGCCTCCTCAAGGTCGAGCTACAGCCGGAGCTCTACTCAGATCCTTAGAGACAATCATCTCCTAGGACGAGGGATAGCTGGAGCGTTTCTTCGTATTCGGATACATCCCTCGAAGAGGAAAATAGGACGCCGACAACTGTCCAAACAGAATGCCGAATTCTTAAGCAAGAAAAAACTTACTCCTCTAAGTAAAACAACCCTTATATATAAAAGGGATTATGATTCATACTAGGCAATGCTTTTAATTAAGAAATAAAATATAATAGGCAATGTTTTAAAATAATGAAGATAACAAAAGTAATAAGAATTCATAATATACGCAATCTTTATAATAGGAAAAATTCATAATAGGTAAAGACTAGTAAAAATAATATAAATTCAGAATTGGCAAGTGCTAGAAAGGAAAGATGGGATGAGGAAAGAGAGAATATGAGGAAAGGTAAGGAGAGAAAGGAAGATGGGGGAGAAGGGGGGTCAGCGATTGGAAGCGAGAAGGATGGAGAGCGGTGGCTGGAATGATGGAACAACAACAGGAAAACAGACATACGGTAAGGTAAGTGCCTCCTCATGGTCGAACTACAGCCGGAGTTCTACTCGGATCTTTGGAGACGATCACCTCCTAGGACCAGGGATTGCTTGAGCCATTCCTCGCCTTCGGATACAACCCTCAAAGGGGAAAACAAGATGCCGATAGTTATCCAAACAGAATGCTGAACTCTTAAGCAACAAAAAACTTCATCCTCTAAGCAAACCAACCCCTATATATAAGAGGGATTGGGACTCATATTAGGCAATGCTTTTAATTCAGAAATAAAGTATAATAGACAATATTTTAAAATTAGGAAGAGAATAATAATAATAATAATAATTCATAATATATGCAATATTTATAATATGAAGAATTCAGAATAGGCAAAGATTAATAAAAATAATAGGAATTCAGAATTGGCAAGTGCTAGGAAGGAGAGATGGGACGAGGAAAGACGGAATAGGAGGGAAAGGAAAATGGGGAAAGGGGGGGTTGGCAGCCCACCTCTCCCGCGTGAATTGGCTGGTTACTCTCCAATGCCCTGCATCATATAGCTTCAACTAAAATGCCATTTCTCTCACTTTGTGATCTTTGCTTAGTCTCTAATGACTTCATGAAAATGTTGAGTTATTATTGATATTTAACTTATTTTTTGATTAGATTCTGCCAAGTAAACGGTTTTCACAGACCGTGTCCATAATTATTTATGTAACATTTGGGATATGTGAACTGGCAGCTAAATAACTTTGCTCTCTTATCTTTCTTCTATAATATGATTTTGGTTGTATTAGAAGTAATATGCCTACTTTTAGTCGTCAGTCGTCTTAACTGAGCACCATTGACAGACGGTCATCTTTAACCACTAATGTAGAAACTCGGGTAACAAGGAGTGACCATAATATTACCCTTTAATCTCTTTTTCCTGATTTCATTTTGCTTAAATTTGATATTTATGATGGCTATTTTTAATTTCTTATCGAGCACATGCTTTTTTTTCACCATATATGGCTTCTTTTTGCTTTTCTTAACTTCAACATGTTATATGCCGATGATTTTTTCTTCTTATTAATTGTATCTGTATTGCTTTTTTATAAGCAGGATGCTCTAAGGACTTTTCTTCTAAGAAAGCTTGATAATCTTACTAGAGATGACAAGTGTCAAATCACAATGATTTCAACATGGATTACCGAGCTTTACTTGGATAAGGTAAATACCTTTGAAGCATCATCAAAATCTTTATTTGATTTTACATTGTTGAATTGCCATGTTATTGTTATTCAGTTGAAATACTGGAAAAAGTGGCAGGAGCAGTTAATTCTCTACAGTGAGTAATTTTTTGTAGCTGTGTGGTTTTCAATGAATTAGGGTTAAACCAGTTTTTTCTTTATCCCCTTGTCTACTGTTTATGGAAATGCAATGCTAGCATACTAATGTGTGCTGTCGAAGATTTTTACTTTGTGGGCCCTTAAAACATAATGTTTGTCAAAACTTTTAAATTGTGATTTTTGACAAGTATTGGAGGATAGTTTGTTGTTTCTTTATTCTAATATGTATAATAAAGCTTCAAATTGAAAATATATAAAATCAGGAATAAAATATTTATAAATAAATTGCTACAATAGTCCCACATATTGGTGGGTTGGCTTCAAGGATTCCATGAGTCCATGCTAGTAGTGTTAAGGAATGACGAGTGGGGAAGTTAGGGAGGATGTAAGGTAGGTAGAGGGTGTTAATTATTTGTTACGGAATTGCTTTCAGACTCTTCCACAAGAAAATAAATGGATGCTATTTTTTAAAATTTGATTAATAACTTTTTACAGATAACCCCTACTTATCTTTTGTTGAGTATGTTCACGAGTTTTTCGCTCATATGTATTAATTTCATGCTTCTCTTTATAAAATATCTATCGGCTTTAATATGCCTTTTACAATACTGTTTTATGGGATTATATGAAATGTTAATGTCTGAATTCTTATCATGGTAGGCCTAATAGGGCCTTCCCACTAAATTTTTAAATTTTGTAGAATAATCTTTAGCCTAACAAGATGCAAATTTTTACTATTGATCTAAATCTGGCTTTCGTGCTAGATCTTGTGATCATAATTTGTTTCTCTTATTCTTGAAGTCACGAGGTTTTCTACTATGATGATAATAATGTTCGCATAAACTGTTAGTATTGCGACTTCCTATGGTGCAGCTGTTAAACAAGTATTATATGATTTCTTTGACTTTGTATCTCATGCCACCTATTTTATTATACATTAGTTGCTTAGTCTTTGAGTGTCAAATTCCTAGCCGCTAGACATTTTCCCTTGCTAGGGTTGTATCCGAGGGCAAGGGGTGCTTCGGCTGCATCCTGCTCCGAGTTGATGACCACCTCCACCTAACCCCTCCCACGTCTCCCTCTCCACTGCTCGATACCTTCCAGCCGTTCAACTTGGTTCTGCCATATTCTTTGTCTCTCCCTGTCGTTCCCTCCTTCTGCATTCGCTCAACATTCTACCTAATTCTCTGCTCCCCAACCTCTAGCGTCAACTCACATCTGATAGCATGCCTAGCTGCCTCCATCCACAACCCTATTTATCCTATGTATTGCCGCAACTAATTCTCTCCACCTGCTGTTCTCGTAACCCTTCTTATTCCCTCAAACGGCTCTCTTACAACCTATAGCCGCAAGACTTATCTAGCCTTTCTACTCCAATCGTCGCTTTCTACCTTCCTTCCATTCACTAACTTCCAGTGTCTTCAACCCCAACCGGCTAAACCGAGAACCCCAACCTGCCCCTACCTACTTGCTGTCGACACTCACCACTCGTTGACCTCACCACAGGGCGTCATGTCATTTATGCTTGTGCTGTTATTTTCTTCTTCTCAAGAGTCGTTTGTAAACCTTTTGAATCTCAACGATAATATTTTATTTCTATTATGGTTTGGGTGAATTTAGGTATCATAACTAGCCCAACCTAGTCGTATTCTAGGGTTTTCTTGCATCCGTCTTATCCCTTCACCAACAATTTTCTTTCCCATTTCGAAATCATAGCCAAAATTTTGACCTTACCCTGATTCCCCCTTCTGATTTTCAAAATTAGCAACCCAAAATCATTTTTTTGCTCCTTTCACTTCCCACTCCAACTTTAGCCATGCCACCAAGGTGATACATGCCTGAGCCTAGCCGAGAAGAGATACAACGAGAGATCTGTTGACTTCAGTGGAGGTTTGCATAAATTGAGAATGAAACCTAGGGGAAGATTACCCTTGATTGTGATGGAGAAAGTTGAAGGGGTAAATGAGACGAGAATTTCAACGCCTTATTTAGGGAGGATTTTAGTGATGAAGAAAGGCCTCAGCGTTTTAGAATACAGTATCTGAGGAGATCTTGAGAGGAGACATCATTTGGAGGACACAAACACTTTGTAATAATGGTGGATCTTCTAGAGTTCGATGGAGGTATGGATCCAAATGATTTTATCGAATGAATACAATCAGTTGAGAGGATCTTTAAGTACAAATAAGTGTCAGAAGATAAAAGTGTGAAGCTTGCAGCTATCAAACTGAGAAAGAGTGCTTCCTTATGGTCGGGCAACTTGCAGGGCACAAGAAAGAGAAGGTAGTGACAAGATTTCCAAATGTGAAGCTTGCAGCTATCAAACTGAGAAAGAGCGCTTCCTTATGGTCGGGCAACTTGGCACAAGAAAGAGAAGGTAGTGACAAGATTTCCAAGTGGGAGAAGATGAAAGCTATGCAGAGGAAACACCTTCTTCCCCACTATAGTCAGAATATGTTTCTGAGAGTACACCACCTGCGACAGAGAAACCTATTAGTATAGGAGTTCACAATGCAGTTTGACCAGTTGTAGTTGAAGTACGATTTAGTCAAGCCAGAGGAACACGCCATAGCCTATTATTTGAAGGGTTTGAAGTCTGCTATTAGCAATGTAGTGCAGCTGCTACCTTATTTATTACTTGGGGATGTCCAGACCTTAGCATTGAAAGTGGAAAGTATAAATAAAGTAGACAACCACCACTAGTCAGGTAGTCATGTACAGTCGTTGAAATCAGTATGAGCTTGCCTTAGGGAGTTGAGAAAGCTGGTTTGGATAAGGGTAGAGCCATGCCCAGTGAGAAGTCTAAGAAGAGTTGCACGCCTGCTACAGTCTCCATCAAAAAATATTTTAGATGCAACAGATTTGGGCACATTTCTTGCAACTTCCCGACGAACTAAGTTGTGTCTTTTACCGAGCAGAGAGCCATTGATGAGATTAGCGATGAGGAGGCTGCTAAGGAACAAGGGGAGGTGTATCATCTTCCATTGGATGAAGAAGAGACGCTCGTGGTCCAACAGGTCCTACAAATCGAGGATACGAGAGATTCATAGTGGCTTCATCACATAATATTCTACACTCGTTGCACCGTGAATAAAAATGCATGCAGTCTCATCATCGATTGAGGGAGTAAGAATGTGGCGTCCACACAAATGTTGGAGAAGTTGGGCCTCATGTCTCAACGACACTCCTATTGTTATTCTCTGACGTGGCTAAAGATGGAGAACAACGTTAGCATCAACTGGAGGTGTCTAGGGAAATTTTCGATTGGGAGCAGCTGCAAGATCAGATGTGGTGCAATGTGGTCCCCATGGATGCTTGCAATCTTTTGTTGGGGAGATCGTGGCATATTGATCGTAGGACTCCGAATGAGGGATTCAAAAAAACTTATTCATTTACTATGGATGAGAAGTGCATTTCCCTCCCTGCGATGAAGCACGAGATCACAAGTGCCCTTACCAGTAGAGCAGCTCTGATGGGACCAGTTTTTGTGAAATTAGCATTAGAAGATGAGAGGATTGAGAAACCAGCTTTAGACACATGACAGACACGATGTTGAGCATATCAGGATATCAAGGTTGATGCCTTACCTCCAACTTCACCACCGTTTGGGATGGTTCAGGTTACCTTCACTTCAGATTATGTTAAGCCGATCGTGGATTGCTTTCGGAGTATTCAGAAGTATAGGTGGGAAAATAGTAGATTTCCAGAAGAATGAATCGATATGGAGGTATGCTCCCAAGTGGAAAAAACTCCTTCGATGTTTTGGAGGACAGTGCAGTCATCAGTGAGATCCAGGTGCTTCTCGGACTGCAAGAGAAGATTCTTTAGCCCTGGGAGATTACAACAACGCCGTCACCATCAACAGATACCTAGAAGCTTCGACGAATGATGTCGAATCTTCCTCAACTCCGGGAGACTAACGCAAGGGCCATTGTTAAACCGATCCAACCTGATCTAGCTAGGAGGTTTCGATCCAGTAGGGAGGCTGGCTGGTTAGCTGTGCTGCAGAACTTTGGGCAGGATTTACCACCCCCTTTTCCCATATTCTCTCACCTCTTATTATATATTTGTTGCTTTGCTTATTAAGGTTGTCTTTGTGTTTTATGATTTCAGATTTATGTCTTTTAGATGTTTTCCCTTGCTAGGGTTGTATCCGAGGACAGGTGGTGCTTCGAAGTGGTGACTACCTCCCCCTATCCCTTCCCCCTCCCCCCCTCACCCCTCTCCTCCAGCTGCTCAACCTGCTAACCAATTAGTTGCTCCCCAACAACCAGTGCCAACTCACATCCCATATTACGCTGCTCGCCTCCATCTACAAGCATGTTCATCCCAAGTATTGCCTTAATTAATTCCCTCCACCTGCGGTTCCCTTTACCCTTCCTATTCCCTCAAACGGAAGCCTTATGACCTCTCCAGCCTCCTTACTCCAACCGTTACCTCCTACCCTTTTTCCAACTGCTGACTTCCAGCTTGCCCAACCACCACGGCTGAACCCGGAACATCAACCTGCCCCTCCCTACTTCCTGGTGGTACTCACCACCCTAGGGTGCTGTGTATTTTTTGCTTGTTGCTCTTTTCCTGTTGTCAAATGTCATTTTTGGTAAACCTTTTGAATCTTGGCAATAATATTTCATTTTTATTCTGTTTTGGGTTAACTTCCGCATCATATATTTTTCCTCTTAAAGCCACTTTGTAAGAAAGCATTTTTAGCATTAAATTGCTGTATTCTATAGTGTATTCTAGTATCAAGTGATAAACGAACTTTTAATAATATTCATATTAACAATTGAAGCAAAGGTGTCAAGAAAATCAGTTCTATTTGAGTGCATCTTTTGACAACAAGTTTTGCAGAATATTTTTCTAATAACTTCTTGATTTGTATTTTACAATCCGTTTACATATTGTTGGTTTATTTCCTTGTGGTAAGTTTGCTAATTCGTATGTTCTTTTTAAGAGCATCAATTTCCTCCGTAACATTATTTCTATTCTCTTTATTTAATATCTTAGCTGGATAGTAGCGGAAGAGTTCCATGTCATGATAGAGTTATATTAAAGGTCAACGTTTAATCTACATTTTTTTTTCTATTGTTTGTGGAGATATTTATCATGATTATTTCTGGTGAGTAATTTTTTTTATTCCTGATAAATGTGACAGTTCAAATCAGCGAGATCATTGCTATATTAAGTTTAGAAAATAAAGGGCTTAAATTTAGTGGAGCAAAAAGAAAGTATGAGATACATACTTATAGTGGGGCTATTAAATAACTCAGATCTGTTATTTACTTTAGATCTATCAACTTGGATGTCCATGAGATTAGTTAAGACTTGGTGATTATAGTTGTGAAATGTCTTTGGAAAACTATGCATAAAGAAATTCCATAGAACTTGTAAGCAAACTTTGTAAAATTGGAATTATGTTTGCTCTACTATATGGATTTAAGTAGTGGCCAACCAAGCAGTCGTTTATGACCATGTCAAGTGTGATTGTTCTTTTCTGTAGCCAGTAACAAAACATGAAAAGCAACATAAAATATAGGAGCATTATGGATTATTTATCAATAATTCAACAATACAAAAGCAAACAATATGATGCAAAATTTCTATAAACCGACCATGAAAATTCTTTAATATGTATGAGAATATGGATTAAAAAAGCTTTTTAGGCCCACGCCTATCATGAGGCGCACAAGTAACATGTAGATGCTTTTCTTTTTTTTTGTTATGAATAAGGCTTAATACCTTTTTTTTTTTTTAGTGTAAGCCTCAAGGCTATATTGTAGGAGTTATTTGAGGTAGACACCTCAAAGCAATAAGAATAAAAAAAAATGTTATATGATATCGTAATGTATTCAATATAGCTACTTCTCAGGTTCAATTAAGTTTTTTTACATTGGTTGAGCGAGATAGAGGTTTGTGAGTTAAGGAAGCGAGAGGGTGGTTTGCAAGTCGAGTTATAGAGAGCGGGTTGTGAGACAAGCAAGGGAGAGTTGGTTGTGTGAATGGGGAGGTGAGTAAGTGAGTGGGAGAGAAGGTAATAATGCTGGGAGAGGGTAATATTTTTTCTCTTGAAGAAGTTCAAAATATTTTAAAAAATTTTAAAATGATTTTATTTACATTTACTTTCTTACTTTGTGTTTTTCATTATTTTTAACTTTTTTCTTTTATATTTTAGATTTTATTTTTATTTTTTAGTTTTATTTCTAATTCTTTATTAAATATTTTTATTTTTATTTATTTTGTCAATTAATTTTAAACTTCTTAATGATTTTTAGTAAGACTATTTTTATGTTGTAGATTTTCTTTTCATCTCTTGGTTTTGTTTCCTATTTTTTGTAATTATTTTATTATGATTTACTTGATTGAATAATATTCTTATTTATTTCTTTAAATATATTGTTTTAGTATTTTCACTTTTTTATTTTATTTTATTTGTTTTATTGCTTATTTTCTTTTGTATTTATATAATTTTATATTTTATAATGTGCTGTCGTGCTAGAAGAAATGCTTAAACTTAAAAGTTCAGCACATAAGTTGAAATATCTAAAGAAGTCGCTAAGGAAGTGTTTGTTTACTGAAAATATAATTTTTTTTTTTTATGAGTTGTTACCGGTGTTAAGTGTTACCGGTGTTAAGTGACTAAAAGTTCACATGGCGCGTGTACACTTTAATATTGGAGAATGTAGAAAAACGGGACTTAAATTTAAAAGGACTATATAGATTATTTTAAAAAAATATACTAGCTCAAAAGAAGTAGCAAAAATTTTTTTGGAAATGTTTGGTAATAGTTTTTACCTTGGTTCTTTACATGGCGATTTTAGCAGCAAAAATTATATTATTTTTTTGTTTAATGCAGAAAAATTGAGCTAATGAATAGATTTATTGCGAATTTAGATAGAGATTAAAAATATAACTTTTAAGAAATTTCTTCCCTTGCTTTGACAAAAAAACTTTAGATTAAAATATGTTTATATATTATATGATTTTCTTAGTGATAATGGTTTCATTCGATGTGGTAAGGCGTTTTTTATGGATAAATACATTTTGCTATTTTGGGAATTATTGTCTTGGCATAGATCTTCCTAGCACGAATGAGCTTCACATATGAGCGCTAGATGAGGAAGTAAGGACAACTATAGTAATGGTTGATGAAGTAAAGATATGTTTTTAAACATAAGCTATAATAATGTAATGGTTGTGACAAGACATTAAAACCAAGCATTATTAAATTCTTTGTTAACTATCCTTATGAGATCTTGTTGTTTTAATATGTTATTATTTTTCTATTCTATTAATTAACGATTCATTTCTATTATTTAAAATGCTTGATGAAATTGTCGAAGGTGGGGGAGTTGGCATAATAATAACTGTTCAAGTTGCAACAAGCAATGCAAGTGCATATAAGGCTGTAATGAAGATGCTAATAGAGAAACTGAAATATTCTTGTGGGACCTCATATGTTGGCCATTAACTCAATTTAATTCTTGAGAAGTTAAGGCAGTTGTCACTCATCACAGCATAAATATGCTTTGTTCAATGCAAAAAATCATAAGTTTATTTATAACTTTGTAGAGTTTTAGGAATAACAAAGCCCTTTTAAAGCCCATGTTTGCTTATGAATAATTTAGAATTTCAAGAAAAAAAAATAGTAAAGGAAAACAAAGTGAAGATTTTTATGATAACATATTTTTCTTTTTGAATGGTTTTAATTATGTTCTTAAGAGCACAGGGTCTCTAGTGAAGGTATTGTGAAGGTTTTGTGGTGACAAGGCTCACATTGGGATTCGTCAATGAAACTATGAGTAAGACCAAAGAAGAATCAAAAGGACATTTAGGGGGGCATGAAGCCGCTATAAAGGGATATTGGGCATTATTGATGAAAATTGGGATACTGAGTTACATTATAATTCAAATGCTACTACCTATTTTTTGAACGTCAATTTTTATATGATAAGTACTTATTTGTGGATTAGTAGGTCAAGATTGGTTTATATGCATGAATGTATAGCCTCATTCATGAGGTTGAATATCTAAAAGCTATTCATCAACTTTGAATGAAGGAAACTTGACAAATAAGCTTCACCATGCGAAAATGTCTCAACTTCTGATTTCACCTATTTAAATAATGTAGAAGAATTCTTAAGATATAAGATGAAAGTTTTGTGTTTTAAGCACAAAAAAATTAAATAGAACCAAATTAGATAAAAAAATTTAAATGAAATAAAAACAACATATTGGGGCAACCTATATTGGCATGTGGAAAGGATTGCGTTTGAAGATGAGCATGAACTATGTGTTCTGCTTGGGATGGAGCTATGTTTACACTTTGACTTGATTGGGATGTGAGCTCGTTAGGACTCAGGAGATGGTTGCATTACTAAGAATCCCTTCATTGCATTGCAATTTCATTTTCCACACATTAAATCTTTAGCTGTTAAAAAGATTCTACTCTCGTTCTATTGCTTGAGAGATCGACTTGGGGGAGGGTTATCAATGCATGAGTCCACATTTAGTCAGGTTTAAAAAGATTAAACCCTTACTAAAATGATAATAATAATATATTAGTTGTAAACTCCCGAAAAAGCATGTTTTATTTAACTTCTAAAGCAACTATAACTAAATAATGTGCGCTATGCGCACAATAAGCTTTAGCACATCCATAGAAAATGCAAGTGTAAGGGGCGTGCCTCACTATTTGGGCTATAATGTATGCTATTTTTGCTATTGATATGTATGAGAGTAACAGACGACCATATTAAGATTTGTTGTGAAAACTAGGAATAATGTATTGATAAAGGATTATATGGAATGGTTGGTGTTAGTAGCTCCTACATGATAAATTAATTAGACGAATAGATAAAATATATGTGGAATGGTTTCGAAGAAAAAGGGTAGGGAAAATGTAACATGCATAGCAGCTCTTCTAATAAAAATTTGAGATAGATTTAATATTTTATCTAGAAGTTAAAAAATTGAGCAGAGAGCGAGGATATCCAAAGTTAACCTCACATAGTGTTTTAAGGATAATGATGATAATGGCCTTAAAAATTAAGTCAAAAGTAATACAGAGCTTGCACTTTATGTGACGAGCCGTCTGCCTAATGAGAAATTGTTTTTTGCTCTGTTCTATGAAGGAAACTAATAGATCCTTTATAGCTGATCTGTTGGAGATAATGTGATTCAACTTGAGGCTTCGTTGTCGTCCAAGCAATTTGACCTTAGCTCTTTTTCTTAATTTAGAACGGGCATTTGGTTCTGGTAAGTAAGCTTCAACCAATAATCTCATTTGCTTAGCGGTTTAGTCAATTTTTAGACGATAGTTTAAAATGATTTGAAAACTGTAAGTCTAAAATCTTAGACAGCACTCAGCAAATTAAATGAAAAACAGTAATCTTAAAGATAAACACCAAGTATTTAGATAATGGAGTAATACTGATTTTTTTGGAATTGTCATTGATTATTCCTGTTTAATTGTTGATATTTATTTTTGTTTAACCTGAAGAAAACTAAAAAAGGTCTACACACACACACACACACACACACGCGCACACACACGTTTAACCTGAAGAAAACTAAAAAAGGTCTGCACACACACACGCACACACACACGCGCACACACACACACGTATGTACTTTTCTGCTGATTTAACTATTTAATGTTTCAGTGTTTGGTTGAAGCTGCTTTACTGGGGGGTAAAGAATTTTTTATTTCACTTCTTGCAGATTAATCGTCTGCTACTAGAAGATGAACCAATTTCGGTTGCTAATGCACCATTAAAAAGCAGCAATGTAGAGTATCAATCAATTATCAAAGAATTTAGAGCCTTCCTTAGTGATTCCAAGGATGTGTTAGATGAAACAACCACTATGAAGCTACTGGAGAGGTAAGTTAGTGGTCACCTTAGGGTAATGGCAAAACTAAATTCAGTCTTTTATCATCCTTTTGTCTGCCAGAATGGCTCAATATATTTTTTTTTAATCCAATACTTCTTATTTAAGTGCAACTCTAGAAGTCTTCAATGAGAAATCTTCTGTAGCATCACTTATTAGACTTTTAAAACTATTTAACTTGTTTCCCGTACTCCTCTTTAGCAGGACCTCTAAGCACTAGATACCTTTGTGTTTTTCTTATTTTACTTGTTTATCCTCCATAAATATAACACCACCCATTTCAACGCCATTCCCTTTTTTATTATATTTTTGGAAAAAGGGAGTTGTTAGATGTTTTTTCTCCATGCCATGGCATATTCTAGATTTCTTACCTTAAACCAATGTTTCCTTGATTCCATGGTTGTTCTTTTAAGAGAATTTGTTCATGGTGAATCAGAAGAACACATAGACAATGCATGTTTTTCTTAACCATTTTTCAGGTTGAAGGTTGGATAATTATCTTTTGTTAGTTTTAGCAAAATGGCAGATGACTTTGAAGTGCCTCTAATTCCATTTTGGGTTTTTTAATGATAAATTATCTAATCAGTTTGATGAGGACACAGTCAATTTGATGAGGACACCTGCCCGCTTATGGATGGGAGTGGATGGCCTATCTAAAATCTGTCCAAACCGGTTCTCTTCTGGCTGATTCAGGGAATTCTGATTCCTTCCAATCGGCCGGTCTATTGCAGGATTATTTGCTGCTTTGTTAATGTTTTTTTAGGGCATTTGGCTTCCTATCTAAAACTATATTGCTAAAACCTCGTTTGAATACTTCTGGGTTTTGATTTATGTAATAGATACTATTTTCTTTAGTTCTTTATTGTAAGTGTTGTATCATTCGATCTTTCTCAGTCTGTGTATCTATAACTTGAGTGGATCTAGGCGGTGATCTATTCAAAACCTTTGAAGACCTACACCAGTTTTGCAGCCTACCTATAGTTTTCCTTATCCTATTTGTTTTCAAGTTAATGAGTGCACCGATTTCTTGGCCCCCATAATCTTTTCACCCCACCTTCCTTTCTCGTTCCACAACCTATCTAACCCCGTTATTGACCACCTTAAACCGTCTAGCAACCCTAGATCGACGTCATTTAATATTAAACCGATCATAACCTTAAATCTTTAGGGGTTTGCTTTCCCCAGTTTTAAAAATAAAATTATTATAACCTAATTCATCTATACAATCATATTTCTTAACTCTAATTGTATCCTCTATTCATAATTCTAACCCTAACACCCAAAATTGCTATCTCTATTTTGACTGAAATCATGATTGTGAGAAGCAAAACCATTCCGCCGAGGAGAAACATGCAAAGAGTTATCTAGGAGCTTATAATGGAAGGTATGCAAAAGGAGATTCAAGTACTACAACAAAGGTTTACCTCATTGGAGAGGAGATAACCCAAAGAGATCACCCATAGTCATAATGGTGACTCACCTGATTAAGAGGAGAAAGATAACTTCATCCACCTAGAAGTTTTTAGTAATGAGAATTAATGCTCCAACAATTTGACATTGAATTGCGGAGGAGAGATAACGAATTCGAATGAAGATTGACTAGCCAAATTTTGATGGGGGTCTAGAACTGGATGAAATCATTGTGTGGCTTGAACTAGTGGAAAGAATTTGAGTACAAGCTTATTCCCCAGGAATAGTTAAACAGATTGCCATCTAACTCAAGAAGATTACGTCCTTGTGATGGAAGAATCTGAAGCGTTTTTGACAACACGAAAAGGAGTAATATCAATGCATGATCTAAGTGAAAGGTGATGCATTGCAAACTGCGTTACTAACATGAAATTCTTAAAAATCCATAACCTGCTCATGAGAGATTTATTTATGGATAAGTGTACGACTAAATGTGATCAAATCTTATTGAGATGTGAGTTGATAAGACCAAAGGGGCACATAATGGTGATGTATCTTGGCAGGTTGATGCTATCACTAGCAATATGGTGCAGTTGCAGTTTTATTGGTGATTACTCGATTTACTGACACTAGCTGAAACAATTGTGAAAACAAAATTAGCACTAGGGGATCAAAACATCTTACTGAGAGCGCTAGACCTTTGGTTCATGTAATAAGAGTACATCCACTAGAGCACCAAATCAGCCCACTCTTAAGAGGAAATTAGCTAGGGTAAAGGAAAGGCGGGGTTCACCAACACCCCTTAATTTTTTCATCAGCTAGGATTTACTTCAAGTGTCATGGCTATGAGCATTCGCATTTGTTTACCCAGACAAAATAGTTCTCTTTGATTGAGTACAGAACAACAAAAGAAGTGGACAGTGACAATGGTGACATGAGAGAAAATAAAAATTTTAGAGGCGAGTATTAACTTCCCGCTGCTGAGGGTGAGATGTTAGTAGGGCTGTAAACGAGCTGAGCTTGAGCGAGCTCAGGCTTGGCTCGTGTTCGGCTCGTTCGAAATCGGCTCGTGTTCGAAATCGGCTCGTGAACAGT